AAAAAAGTACCGTTAGCATTTGTGGATGAAAGTCATGATTCTTTGTTATCGTCTCTTTCTCTTCGTTTTCCTGTTCTTACCTCCATTCGTTCTGTCTCAAAAGTAAAAACATCAACATAATGTAAGCGCGCGAGACAATTGGAAAAACTTTTTCAGTTCTTCTTGTTGTTACTAAGGCGACTAAACGATAGTAAAGGAAGGAATGAAGAAGAATTAAAAGAGAAGAAAAAAGGAATTTAAGCTTTGTTGATGGGGTTTATGGGTCAAGAACCTTTCAGCAAGCAACCTTTGCATGCACGAATATAATAAACGGAATCAGAATGCTCACAGATTTCCCATGAGTCAATGACTTTACAAGAAATTTTCACTTCCGTTTGTCCCTTTCTTAATAAAACATTCTGTAGCTTTCAAATGACTTCAAAATGTTATTGCCTTTCGTACCACAAAGACACATTTATCTTCTGCAAACAATCTTCTAGTTGAATTTGGATTAAATAATCCTTTAAAACCAGTTTTATTATTTATTTTTTAAGGCATGCCTTAACATGTCTATTTTTTTTGTTTCTTCTTGTTTTTTTACCTTTGAATATACAAAATGCTGCTCATAAATACGGCGGTTCTTAATGGTTATTAAAAAAATTGATTTGGAATTGTAGCAACCTGATACAGCAGGTAAATGAAGCAGCACTTGTCTAGCAAGTAAGAATAAGCAGTAAAGTGCGCATTCTCTAGAGCAATTTTACAAGAATTGAGGTAGGCTGAATCCAAACTGTAATTCGTACATAAAAAATTGCGCTTCTGTATTCACAACAGCTACATTCATTTTTATGCCAATTTTTCATTTGTATGGGAACCCAAAAAAAAAACATTATTTTGAGGTATGGCAACGAGAGAAAGAGAACAATAATTAAAAACAAATGCCAAACAGAACAGCATAAAATTAGTAGTTGAATAATGAAGTAAAAAGAGAGTGAGCAAATCACAGTCGTAAATCATCATTTTCTCCTTTCAAAAATATACACAAGACTGTAATTTTTATTATTATTTCTCTGGTGGAGCTGCTGCTGTTGATGCTGTTAATTGTCCAAAATAAATAAATTCTATGACTATGAAATTTATTTTCGTGCCTTTTCTAGATGCTTTAAATGGGATTGTACATGTATGCCGTCTATCATTTTTGTGGACTGAGTTTATGTAAGAGCTTCAAATTTGTAATAAAAGTAAAGACAATCCCATTTTCGATAGACGTCATTAATGACCAACTTCTAAAGTGATTTCATATTTTATTCGAAAACTTAATCTGGATCTTTTTTTCCAGAGTTGGTTGTTTGGGAAACGATTAGTGAGAATGAAGAGATTAAGTCTAAACCAACCCACTATGATTCTTGTGACACATCAAGTGATTTTATTGGGCACTACAGCATTTTATTGAACTTAAAAAGTTCTCAAAAAATTGCCTTAAGCAAGAACTTGATGACCCATGTGCTATTAGGATTAATATGTAAGCGAAGTGTTCCACATCCATGCCAACACATCTTACTGCTGTGAATCAAAAGATCATGAATATTAAAAACTTAAAGTTGCTCACTTTGCAGAAACTTTAATTGACAATTTCCTTTTTGTAAATCAAGTACAGCCATAAAATTGTATAAAAAAAATTGAAAATGAGAGTTGTGCCTGAAACGATCTTTATTTTTATTTCTAGAAAGTAAGGCTGGACATTTTCAGAATACGAAAGGTCACGAAGCATTTTCCTGAATGCATTCTATGGCAACGAAAATAATCTGATGTTTATGGTCTGATCTGATTGATTTTTTCCATCTTTGCTGAGATTATAGCTGTAAACAAGTTTTCTTAATGGAATTTTGCAATGAAATCCTATAAAATTATTGTGGATTTAACAAGCTTCAGTCATTCTAAGAATTTTTATTATCTTTTCAACCTTTTAAAGTATTTATGAGTTTGGTATCAAGTCGCAATGTTGAACTTTACGAATCAGCACTTTTATATTGCTATTTGATAATGTCAATTATATACGCAATAGCCTTAATATTTAATAATTTATTATTTAACATCAGTACACTGCATGATATGATAATTATTTTCTGATCAGGTGCATAACGAGAATGCAGTTAATAAATTCATTTCTTGATATTTATTCTTACTAGTTTCATTATATAATCTAGTTGCGATGTTATTTTTATGAGATATGGATGGTTAAATATTCTGGTTTCAAACTTTAAAGTTTAATATCGGATATAAGGTATTAAATTATTATTGTATCTAAGTGAAGTTTTTAAACAGCTGCAATTTCATAATCAGTATGTGATATCTGATGCAAGAAAGTAGAAACAAGATTTATGAATGTATTTGGACACTGTATTTTGGATCCCATGGATTTATTTTGTCAGATCAGGTGGATTATACCCTTCAAGATTATTTAACTTAGTCTGGATTGAACATTACTAAGTAGTCTACAGCTGGAACCAAGCTGTAGACATCTTTTATCAAATTAAGAATGATGAAATCGAAGAAATTGAAAGTTTATTAAGAACCCGATTAAGTTCAATAGACTCATTGATATCCTACATGCTGCGAAATACTTCAACTTGTAACAAAAGGATCATTATCATCATTAAGAACTTCCTAAACTTAAGCATAATCTCCCAGCACATTAAATTCAATTTATAATCTATAGAGACACATATTAGCCAAATGAATCCGTATGAAATCTATACGGAACCTACACAAAATCAAGGGGAAACCAACTTGATAAGAAAAGTTTTAAAATTTTGAACTTGATAGGAAATTGATGGGAATTTCCCCTTTTGCTGTTTTTCTTTCACTTCGAACTAAGAATAACTTCCAAATTGCTAGCAAATACAGCCTTGTGTCCACTGAGATTCAACATGAAATCACTTTTGATCACTATGACTAACTTTTAATGTCCTCATCAACTCATCAAAAGTTTTCAGAACCTCTTTGAATCACTCATCATGTATAAAATCATTCCTTTAATTGGATGTAATACCTTTCCATATAATCATCTTTTTTTCTCATGTCCCTCAACACAAAGAAGAGCCTTTGACATGAAAATAAGTTACAAACTCCATTTCAGCTATTGAATACTAAACATAATACAGCCATTAGCATATGTCCAATTAAGTAAGACATCAGAATATTCTTGCAAAAAAAAGCTAGCTCGAAAATATTCGAAAGAAATATTTTCGTGACACTTTGGGGGTTGTTTTTAAATGATGTGTTGAAAAAAAAGGATTTTTGGATGTTCTGGGATAATGTAATTTATGTCATGAAATGTTGCGCAGCTCAAGACCCTTGAGATATTATTAGTGGACGACCCATTACAGCCATATCGATGGAGAATTCACGATAAACAAGTAACAGAGGCATGGAAAAGGAAAGAAAAAAAATAGAAAGTTTTTCGCTGTTTATAGCTATAAACAACAATTCCAAATCAACAACAACAACAAAATGATTTTTGTTGTTTTCGAAGAGAAAGTGCAGTGGAAAAAAAACCCAGCACTACAAACGATTCATCGCTATGTGAACGAATTTTTATTTTATTTTCATACATAACATGGTTCAGGGGTTCCGAAAAAAATAATGATCAAGAAGAAGATGTGAATGAAAGAGATGAAAAAGAGAGTAAAATGAATTAATTATAATATTTTCTGGCCTCCCATTTTTTTTTATTAGACAAACTTATAAAGAAATATAGATGCATGATGTCATGAGTGACTTCATAACCCAGAAATTAGACAGCGTCTCGAAAGTCACGAAATAAAATTCAATACTTCATTGGCCACACGCGTTGCTAAATCGTGCAAAGTGCTCAAACAATAAAAGCAAGAGCAACAAAAGTTGCTTATTAAAGGAACAAAAAAAAAAATCAAGTAGCGACGGAAAGTAAGGCACAATATTCCCCAAAAATTTCAATTTAAAATCAATATTAGCAGTTGGAATTGAAAAGTAATCGTGAGTTTATTTTATGATAGCGCATTTCGCACAGTGAAACTTAAAACGTGTCGGGTAGACGATGGAATGGCTTCTGCCAGACGAAAACACTTCAATAATTTTTAAATACGCGTTTAAGAATTCTTTTTTGACTTCCATTCGGGCAAAAACGTGTCTTTATCGAGTTTTGTGGTTGTGAGAAAAAAAAAATCAAGTTTCAATTACTAGAGGCTAGCTTAGTTACGCAATGTACGTGAGTTGTCCATTTTTTGAACAAATAATAATTCACAAAGACAAACTGTGTCCAAGTTGAGAAAATTGGATATGAAGAGATCCATTCATGTGACTTCTAATTTAATTTAACCCTTACTGACAATATTCGTAGAAAGGTATGAAGGAGTGAGGAATAACATCCCCCAGTCTGGCAGGAAAAATTTCCTGTGGAAGCAGCAGCAGATAGCTCACAGTTTCATAGATCATTCAACCCTCTTCTTGTCAGTATTATTTTTATTACAATACACAGTAAATTCATTCCATAATGATCCCAGTGTCTACACACAAAAATGATCTGAACGAATGAAAAAGTTCAAGGACTTTCACATTTTCTTTTCCTTCCACACCACATGCATATATATTTATTTTAAAGAAAATTATTGTCAATCAAAGGAACGAGAACTGACACTTTTTTTCTTAGTCTCAGATAAATTGAGTCACAATGTTTTGAGGAAACATCTAGAAGTGACTAGATGAACAGAAAAAACTATAGCACTGAGTAAGAATCGAACCCATGTTCTACAATTTCACAGTCACATGCTCCTACCAATGAGCCATCGGGGGTCATTCGACTATATGATACTACTATGAATTATCATTGCACAGGTCATTTAAAAAATTCACAGGAACAATCACGAGTTTATTTTGCACAATATGAGTCGTCGAGCTTCAAGCTTCGATTAGAGGTTATACAATATTAATCACCCACGTAAATTAAAGAATTTTTAAAATATATATTGTTGTGTAAATACCTTGAACAGTAACTAATAAATCCACAATAGTCTATCCTTAAATGTGTATAAGTAATTTTTTTATCTCGCATATGTATGTACAAGATGCACTTAAATTTTTTACACTTTATTTTTTTTTATTTTTAGCTTAACTTAAATAATTTTTTTTATACGAAATCCACGTCACTGATTTCCAATTCTTTTCACAGTCTTTACTTGCTTTACTTCTTTTTTTTTTCTCTTTTTTTAAAAAATATTTTTTTACTTCTTTTTCTTATTCCACTCTGTATTTTTTTTTTTTTTGCAACGGTAAACTTTAAAATAATTTTTTTTTATTCAGTTATTTTTATTCAAAGAAAATTTTTTTCTTCTCTTTCCATCAACTAAGTAATGAAAAATTTCACTAATTCACGACTATAGATAGAAAATTTATCTCTCATTGCTTTACAAAAAAAAAAAAATTATTAAAAACACTACACATTCGACTAATTATAAAAAAAATAATCACTGATGGATGTTGCACGTTTTTAGGGTCAAGGGTTATGACTCTAGAGAAGCAATTAAGATGCAGTTAAACTTTTTTTTATGACTTCACAAGTCGAGTGCTCTTTCTCTACTGAATTCAATTCGATGAGAATTATTGTGGCTTAGTCATGAGAAACTTTATACTTTTGAGAGAATCTCTCATTATTGAGTGGATGCTCTGAGAGAATTATTTACAGTGGGTTACAGACATATCGCCCAAATTTCTCTCTGAATGTATATGAACACCCGATTTTTTATGAGCACAATTTTCATTCTGTTGTGGCATATTTATGAAGAAGAACATTTCATCTATTGGATGCTTTAATGTCAGAAGTCATAGGAATCGACTGCTTCATATTGAATACACCTACTTAATTTTTTATATTTTTGCATATAAGGTGTGATTAATAATTTATGTTGCTGCTGCTGTTGCTTCTTCCTTTGGCCTTAAAAAATTTATTTTTCAAATTATCAAAGGATTTCGGATGTCGACTGCTTTGGAGCTGTTTGGAGATAAACATTGCAGAGTAATAATTAAATGGGTTGAAATGTTTTGAGTGAATATGACTTTAACCTCTGTTTTCTTAATATACACAGTAACTTCCAAAACCTCTTTGGAAAGGAAGGAGTTCAATGTCGAGGCAACAACGCAGTACAGTAGCAACTTGCGACTGAAGTCAAAAATGCACTAAACTTCAGTCACTTACCATTCAAATTCAAAATAAAGATATCCGTTGTAAATATTCAGCAGACAAAAATTATAACTGATACAAAGTAGATATCTTTTGGAGCCGAATTAAGAACATTCATTAATATGACAACGATTAAAGCATCCATAAACACAAAGAAAATGTTGGATCAAAACTAGTTCAAAAAATTCAATTTTCTCAGTTACCATTGAATTTTCATTTGTTTACAATTTTCTTCAGTTTTTTTCTGAACGTTGCAGAGACAAGACGTGTTTTTAAATACGATAAGTTTAAATGTATCAGTCAGTAGTGAAAAAGTGGTTGAATTGAAATAATGCAAGCTTTTAAACAGCAATTCATCTTTAAATGATTTTTGCCATCAAAAGAAAAAAAGTGTTGAAAATTTTTCAAAGTGAGGATTTGAGTTAATTTAAATTGAAAATGAGATTAATAAGTGATAAAAGAAGTAGGATGCAGTTCAAGAAAGGAGTGAGCCTGACATTAAGGAGTAAACTGATTAGTTTGAAATGTCCAATGGAGTGGTTTTTAAATTTCATTACGATTCACAAATATTCAAATACAAAATTTATTTTTGTAGTAGATCTATTTAAGGTGGCTTTTTCCTTTGCAAGAATATATAAGAGATAAAAATAAACAATAATAATAATAAAGCCTGAAAATTGAGCGGTATTGGAATGAAAATGTAATCTTACGTCAGGCAATTCAATGAGTATTTTGTCTTGTTCTATATGTAATAGATTTTAATTCAGTTTTCAACATCTTTGACTGATTCAACTTAATTTTTCCAGGAAAATCTTAAAGTTTAAGACTTAAACGAAATTTAAAATAATCAAAGTCTTCAAATGAAATCTATCAAATACAATCAACTTGGTTAACAACTGTAATTGGTGAGTGTTTTGAGATTTTGTTCCCGAAATACACTAGTCCAAATTAAAGGTAGTTTTTTCAAAATGGGGGAGAAGGTGTCAAACCAACCTAGAGCCCAAAAACATTAAGAGTATGCAATTTAATTTCAATGTTGATTTCAATCAATTTTAAAATCTCCACTTCTTGCATTTTATTTGAAAATGTCAAAACTGTCAAAAGAATTTAAAGAGGATTTATCATCAAATAATTCAAACTTTAAAAACAAAACAAAGTAAATTTAAGAGTCTTTAATTCCTAAATTGAAAACAATCCCATGAGTCACATCCATCAATTAATTATCTAATAAGAAAACAATTTATCAGAAATCATATCAGCATAGAAAAGAGCAACAAAAAATACATTCTTATAAGAATCATTCTGGGGATTTCTAGTCTTTATTATGAGTGGGAGAGTCCGTAATGTATGGGCATTGTGAGCTCTTAAGAGAAGAAAAAGTATTCAAATATCGCGAAGAGAGGAAAACACGTGAGTGTAAGTATGAGATGAAAATAATTTTAAATCTTACAAATTCTTTTTTCAAAGGAATAATTTGCAAATTATTTTTTTGAATATTTCATTTGCATTGAATTTATTCTCCACAAATTTTTATGATAAAAAAGTTTTATTTGGATGTGCCAGTTCCTTGTGCAAAGTTTAAAGTTTATTTCAGTAGCTTGAAGGTTTTAGACAATTTAAGGTTAAATCTTAACGGTCACAAATTTTGTCCGTTTTTTAACAATCCTCTCGAAAGTTACTTAAAAATTTGATAAATCAACCAAAAAGACAATTTTGTTGATGTGCTTACAGTCACGAAAATTCACTTCGCGAGTGAAAGTTAAGTCTTATTTTTCTCTCATTTTTTTGTGTGTTCAAAAAACGAAATTTATAATATACACCAGACAATGAATATTATGAAGCTATAAACTGGTTGATTATATAAAATTGTATACGTAGAAATACACTTAAGGGAAACTCGTAAAGTCGCAATGCATCGAAACGAGAAGATACAAACGTGCATAAATACCCTAAAAAGAAATAAGGAAATTAAAGGAGACTATGGAGCTTAAGTAGGCCGTCAATGTTATGTTCTTTGCTCTTTCCTTTCGTGGAATGAGAACCGTTATGTATAAATTCTGTTTTGTACTTCTTCTTGCTCTTCTTATTGTGCCTGACTCGCGCTATACAATCTTTGTTGATAGAAATTTTCATTAAGTACGGAAACCTTAACATTATCCATATCGAATTTGAAATAATATATAAATAAAAACTTTAATTATATCTTTCTCTTTCAATATATGTTGGCAGTAATAGCAAGAGAAGAAAGAAAAGAGTAAAAAAAAAACCTTGACACAGATTTCCATTATTCATTTCTTTTTCTTCACATATTAAGCTCTGAGCTTTCGTGTGTTGAGCACTGCTGAAAATGACGAAATTCTTTTCGCTGTTTGCCATTATTTTTTTTATTATTTTTCGTCACAAAATAACACATTCACTCTCATCAAGTTTGGTTGTATCCACCCAATACCATCAATCTTGCCTTGTTGCCTTTTAAGATGATGATTTTTTTTGTGTGTTCGCAAAGAAAGTAACGGTATGCTGTGCCATTTCTCCCATTTAGTCTTATTGAATAAAAAAAAGGCACAGTTCTAAGTAATCGTATGAGCACAAGCTCAACAATATTGACGGCACTTTCATTCTAGAATATACTTGAGCACACCTCCATCTATTTTCATGGTAATTTGATTATGTGAATGAGATAAAAGTGGCAGCCTGGGGATGAGAGTTTTAGTTTCTGTCGATCAGAAGTGGGTAGAATAATTAACTGAAATTCTGAATATCACAATCGAAAGTTTGTTGAGCTGATGATGAATCATTTTGTAAAATGTAACTGCGAATTTCTCAATTTCATGAAATTGATAATTAGAGAAGATGATGTTTGGGTAGGTTGGGAGATTGGCTTAAAGCTTTAATCGTTGTGGGAAGATATTTGAGAATTTTTGAAAACTTTCTTTTGAACTTTTCAATTTCATAGCACATGAACTTCAAAATGAAACTTCTTGAAATTATTTTTTTGTTCAGTCACAAAAGTTTTGATCACAGCAAAAACTTCTCGTTTTGATATTTTGCTTTTGTCAAGACAAGACAAAGTCTTAAATTCTTAGTCAAAGAATTGACTTTTTGGAGAATTTTAAAACAAGGGTGTGGATCAAAATGATTAAAACTTTATTACTCAGTTCCGCACTTTTGTCTTAAAATTCAAAACATAATTTTATTACTTAAGGATTTAATTAATTTATTATCACTACAAAGCTGATTAAGTTGAAATCGGACTTTTGGGAAGTATTGACTTAAGCTTTAGGTTAGGAAGTAGAAATTAGAGCTACAAGATTACTTTACGATTGATCGAAATTTTGTTCTATTAAAGCGTTCTTTGAATCTCCTGTCTTAACAAACATCTGAAAACTCACATTCTAAATTAGGCGAAATTACAATACCTTCAAATCATCCAGTTAATCGCAAGGGTCAGACACTCCAAAGTATTGTACGGTATTGTACAATACTTACAATACTTACAATACTTTCCATACAAGTATTGTAGTATTGTACAATACCTACAATACTTACAATACTTGCCATATAAGTATAATATAATATAACTTTTCATATAAATTTACAATACTTTACAATACTTACAATACTGAAATTTAATTATTTAAGAACCAAATTTTAAAAGAAATTACATATTTTTTTTGTTTTCAACATTTTGTAAAACCAAATTTAGTACTTTTTTTGACAAATATTGATAAATAACAATTTTTTTTTTGATAAATTAACATTATTATTGAAAATTATTTAAAAATGATAAAAAGTTCAAAATTCTTTTGTAAAGCTAGACTGATGCATATCAAGAATAGATTTCATACAATTCTCATGCATAAAATCATACAGGTACGAAGTTTATTATGTAAACTATTATTAAATGTCAATAAGGAATCAAAATTAAATAGATTGGTTTCATTTTCACAAGATATATCACTCTTTATAGCAAACTGCATTACGTTTTATACAAATTTTTTGATCAAAGTATAAGGTTTTAAGTGTATTCAAACATTACTTTGACGATTCGAATTTTTTTACCTCTGACAAGAAGGCGATTAAGAAGGAATCAAATTTAACAAACTTATCAAATGGTTTTAATAGCATTTTTTTTTTGAAAATACATATTGTCAACAACTGCATCTCTAAGACAATATAAAACTATATATTTTCTTCTTTCTTTGCCAAAACTATTCTTATTTTTTTATTTCTTATAGTTGATACTATACTTTCACGATTTCCTGTTCCCGAAATTTTTGGGACAGAAACTCGATGAATAAAAATAGTTATCCAAAAAATTTTAATGTCAAATTATCTCAATTGAAAAGTTTCATCATTTAAACACAAAAAAATCTTCCAAATTTTCAGGAGCATGTTTGATATTTGAGTTTAAATTTTTGTCCAGTTCCCGACAATTTTTTGGGTCCGGGAAATCGTGAATGCCTAGTTAATACAAAAAGATATATCATTTTAGGAAAATTCACTGACAATTTCTGATGAAAAATGTCCTTACTAAAAACAAAATAAACTTTAAAGAAACAAACTTAAATCGAGGCATAGCAATGTTATGATATGACTTAAAGCGCTATAAAAAAACTAAACCTCGGTGTTACCTCTATAAATTTGAAGCAAACGTTAAAGTTTCTCTAATATGAGGTGACTAATGTCTTTTCTATGTTTTCGTTTATAATGTTTGATATTTTTGGCTGCATCTGGCGTTATATCGCCTTTGTTTCGAGCCAGAATACTTTTATGCTATTGACAATTTTGATAAATGACTTTATTACCAAAAATTTTGTATACAAATATTTTTACAATATTTGTATATGTTTTAGACTGATATTTTTGGAGAACTATAAAATTTCAATTAAAACTTAAAAATATCTAGTTCAAAATTGCTAATTATGTGTTTTTATAAAGTTTTGGTTCAAAGAATGTAAAGAAACACGAGAAACTACACAAAAATCGTAAATTGTAATCAAATTCATATGACAAAAGTTTCTCAAACTGTCTTGTAAAAACTACAATACTTACAATACTTTCCATACATAGTATTGTAAGAATTGTAAGTATTGAACAATCCTGCAATACTTGGCATACAAGTATTGTAAGTATTGTAGGTATTGTACAGTACTTACAATACTTTCATATGTTGTAAAGTATTGTACAATACATTACAATACTTTTGGAGTGTCTGACCCTTGATTAATCGTTTGCTAAGATGGAGAATACTTACGTGATAAATAGGCGGCAACTTAGAAAATCCTTATTTTCTCACAGTGGCTTTGAAATTTTTTCTTATAACCTCAGCAGTTATATTTTGAGAAGGGCTCAAAAGTAAATTTGGGTGCTTACACCAACGCTATACAGAATTTTCCAATGTCTAATATTTCATAATCATCTTCAAGACGTCTCAGCTGTCATTTTTTACATCGCATCCAAATTTTTCATTCACAGAAGTGATAAAGAAATTAGACCAAAGCTATTTATGGATATATCGAGAGTAAAAATCTACGTCAGAGTTCTTTAACAAAGGAATTCGGTCAATGCTATCTTTTGGGCCATCACGTCATAGCTGTATCTGTAGATATTTCCAGCACCAATCAAATATAAAACTGGTCATGTAACAGCAATAAGCAATTGTCATTTAAAAAACCAGAAACATTCCATTGCAAATTTTTTAATTTTTTTTATGCTGTTTAACAGGCTTTAGACTCGAGAATTTTTCTCATACACAAAGAATTTCTCCAACCTTCATAAATTTATTCTGAGGAATCTTGAAAATTTTCAAAGTCAGTCCATGGCATTAAAAAAATATATAATTGCTCATTGACATAAAAGTTTTTATTAAAATCCTTCAAAGTTTCGGTATTTATGTCCTGCTTTAATAACAATTCTACAAGCTTGCGTATAAAAAAAAGAGAGTTTTGGATGTCAAAGATTAATCCTTCTCGTTTATGTATGCAGTAGGACAAAAGAAAAAGAAGTTAAAATTGTATGCGATACTTGTTTTCACCACTATTGCTTCTTCCACTATTTGCGCGTTGGTGCTGTTTCCAATCAGGATTTGGCGAGTGTGCTTGAAATGCATGATGCAAGACACTCGAGCTTGGTAAGGTTGGCTTTGTTGGTGAGCTATTGTTGCTGTTTGTCAAATAATTAATTTTCGTTGTTGGATTGTTCGGATTTAAATTTAAATACTTTGGCGGTGTTCTAGTCCGTGAACGTTGCGTCAATTGCTGATAGCCAACGTCTGGCTTTGGGCTTGAACGAGAGTTGGAACCACTCGAAATTGATCCCTCGCGTGATTGATGCTGCGCACCAGGCGATTGACGCATAAATGTAATCTTCTTGCCGCTACTCACAAATCGTTTTTGTGAATCAGACGAAGACGGTGAGTCAGGTAAGCGCTGATAATTCTTTGTAGACAAGTAATCAGGCTTATTTGAGTAATAAATTTTCGTGATGTTATTCGTTGTGTCAGTTTTTATTGTCCCATAACTTTTTGGATTATTCTTGGTAGAGTTCAGGGCCATTTGCAGTTCTGTCTTGATATCGACGAAATTTTTAGAGCCGCTTGATGTGACTGGTGATTGATGACGCTTTAAACTTGACGTTTTCATTTCATATTCGCTTTTGCTATTTGATTTATTCGATTCCGTTTCACTCAATCGTCCGTATTCTATTTTCCTTGGTGGCTTCATTGTACGTGGAGGACGAGGCAATGCTGAGGGTGGAGCTGATGATTGACGATCCTTGCGTGGCGCGAGTAACATTTTCGGTAGCTATTTTGTAAGAAATAATAATAATAATAAGAATCAAATCAGGTTCTTGTACATGACAGTATGAAAAATTACTTTAGAATTCTCCGATGGCTGATTACTTATGTTGCTGATGTCATTCATGTTATGTCCAATTGTCGAGGAAATTTGTGCCAAATTATTGTTTCGTAATTTTTGAGATGAACGACCTTGCTTCTCTAGCAGCACAATTTCTTCATTCTTGCCAGAATTGCTTGAGTTTGCAGGAGTATTTTCTCTGTGATTCCTCAAGTTTGCTAAGTTTTGTAGGAAAGCGTCGCTATTATTATTGGATGACGTCAATGCAGCCATTTCCTCTGCTAAAACTGGCTTTTTACTAAGAAGATTACTCGGAAAGCAGCATATCTGAAAGGCAATTGAATAAATATCGTCTGATATGCCATGTTTGTGAATTGGATTTAGAAGTAAAGTTCTTTATTCTATGCAAAATTTACCTGGATTTTGTTGGCTTTTCATCCTCTTACAACTTGCTCTGATTTCATACACACAAAAGTTAACAAAACAGAACAAAAGGTTGGTTGAGCGGAAAACTTTCAGCATATATGATAGGCCATTAATTGCACTGCGTATTTTAAAAAGTCAATAGTCAATATGCCAATTAAAATTGAGGAGCGAGTTCCTCTGAAGATGAACAAAAGCAGCATTAGTCGAGGATTTTGTTCGACAAATGCCAATTTTGCTTACTCGGAGTAAGTTTTAGTACCTAATCATTCAAAGGAGTGTCTATTGTGCATTTTCTCGATTTATATTTCAAAAGCAAGGAAAAGTAACTTTCTTATTGAAAATCATAAACAAAACCGTTAATTTTTTTATTGTAAAGTTTTGAATTTTCGCGTCATTTTCTACGTCTCACCTCAAATTTTAATAATCAATTTTAACGATTAGTTGACATCTTAATTTCATTTTAAAGGTGTCATTAAATTAAAATAGTTGGCAAAGAGTCAGCACATCAGTTAAATTCAATGGTTTAAGAGTTTTAAAGAGGAAATTTTGCATTTTTTTTTTGTTTATGTTTATTGTTTACATTTTTTGGAAAGGCCAACAAATTTCAATTAAAGACTAAGCTAAGATTCTGTTTTTGACTCCAAGTGACTATCAAATAAAAGTCCAAAGTTAATCGACTGGAAATCAAAAAGTAATCCTCTCTGCAGTCAGGTTATTAAAAATTTCATTTGGGGATAAATTTTTTGGATATTTGTGCAAAAGCAGTTTTTGGAACGCAATGTCATTAAGCTGAAAAAATGTCTATGATCTAAGAAACTTAAAACAGAAAAAAATCATTTTATTTCACAAAAAATATATATTTTTATTATTATTGGGAACAAACAAAAAAAAATCTCAAGGGTATGAGCAGAGAAAAAAAATACGAATTATGTGACAAAACCCTTTGTGGAAGGGACATGAGGCGTAAATTTTGTAAAATTAAGGCTTTCTCTCGCTACGAACAGAATTAAATTAGTTAAAGAACATTCTTGTTAATATCTTTGTTAAGTGATTATTAGGAAAAAGCTTGTCAAAAGCTTCCATTTCTATTAATTATTTTGTTGCTACTCATCTTGGCGGATGGGGTCGTTCACAAATGATGTCAAATTGTTGTAAGAATCTGACGCTACGACACAAAATAATTTTTTGTATGAAAAATATGTCTTGAAATCTTAAATATTTGATTTACATCATTTACGAACGACCCCTAATGGTTATAAAATATTCAGTATTTCTTTTGTTAATAGCACACAATTATTCAAATAAAATAAATGATTTGTATAAAATATACAAACTTTATCCACATTGCATCCAATATCTTGTCTCATCAGTCTTCTATAGATAGATATACACAAATATTCAATTGACTTAACATCAATAAAAAACTTCCTGTTCTTCGTCATCTTCCTCGCGCGTAAAATTGATCGGTAACGATTGCATTGAATTGGAATATGTACTATTTAAATTGTTAGCAACATTTACGTTTTTAGAAATAGACGTACGACTTGGTGCAGCTGAACTCAAACTCAACGAGCTTGCTCGTGAATTGTGAATTAGTGCAGCATTTTTCGATTTTAAATTTCGATTTTGTTGCTGCTGTAATTGAATATGTTGTTGCTGTATTAATGTTAATTCACTTACTTTTGTTAATAGCTGATTATCTAATTTTTTAAGCTGATCATCAATCGTTTTTCTCTGCTCATCTAACGATTGATCATAATTTAAATAGTTTGAAGCACTCGATGACGATGTGATTGAAGGCTCTTGATGCTTATGCTGCATTGTATTTGATGCCGATGAGCATGATGTGTTTGGTGAAATTCCAGCCGATGTTGGTGGAACGGATGATAATTTTGGTACGTAATTTTGCTGATAAAGTCCACTATATGCACCGGCTAGAATAGCATCAAACGATGAATTTGATGTAGCAGAAACAGTTTTCGAGCTATTTGACGACGGCATTAAATTGTCGTAATTTGATGTATTATAAATTAAAGGGGTTGTGGGCGTTGATGATACAATTGAAGATGATGATGGCGTATAATCGTTATTGTTCAAAATATTGTACGCTTGGTTTGCTGAATATACTGTGAATATAAAGCATCATTATTTATTGACAATTCTTACTCATAATAAGCATGAACAACTTACATTTTTGTTGCTCTTGTAACTGCCTTAATATATCCTCCTTCTCCTTTTCTGCCAATCGATTTTCTACCATTTTCAAACGAGTTTGAAGCTCATTAACTTTCCTTTGTGCTGAATGTGCTTCAGATATTATTCTATCTGTGTCTTGTCCCGCTCCATCCATACCTAAATTCCGTCCATCATCCATATTACGTTGGTCAAATTTCGAGCATTCTGCCTCCAAACGCATCATTTGATTATCTTTCTCGCGTAACTGCCACTGTGTAGGCGTACGGTTTAAATCTTTAGATAATTCGTTTTCAAGTTCAAGTCGTAATTTATCTCTACGCTCATTAGCACTTATTAATGACTGAAGTTGTTTCTGATAAAGTTGCTTTTGTCGAACCTGATTTGGGAAAATGTCGAAAATGTATCAAAATTTGATTAATGCTCGTAATTGGATGAGATTAATTAGCAGAGGTCGAAGTTGGTGAAGTGAAGTCGTTTCACTTCACTTCACTTCACTAAAATTTCAATCGGTTTCAAGTCAGCTCGAGTGAACTCATTTTTTTCGTGTTCACTCGAGTCGACTTTTAACCGAGTTGATTTTTTCATGTTCACTTTAGTCGACTTGAAACCGACTTGAGTTCACTAAGGAAAAAAAATGTAATATACCAAACTGATTTCTGCTAGTGCTTGTGAAGTATATGTGATTACATACAAAATTGCAGAATTTGTCCTTTTTTACTTTTCATAACCATATAGCAAACTAAACGAATTAATTTGAAATATTTTTCAAACTTCCAGTTTATTATAATTCAAGTTTTAAATTTTTTTCATTATTTATGTTTGTACCTTAAAGAAATTTAACTCTATAATTAAAAAAGAAGTGTTATATTTAATGGTGAAATTAAAAACAAGTGAGAACAAAAATAGAATTTACGATTCATTCAGTGCACTTATCAATATATCAATGTTGTCAAACAAATAAATATGAGATTAAAATATTTTAAATTAATTCGTTTAGTTTGCTTTATGGTTATGAAAAGTAAAAAAGGACAAATTCTGCAATTTTGTATGTAATCACATATACTTCACAAGCACTAGCAGAAATCAGTTTGGTATATTACATTTTTTTTTCTTAGTGAACTCAAGTCGGTTTCAAGTCGACTAAAGTGAACACGAAAAAATCAAGTCGGTTAAAAGTCGACTCGAATGAACACGAAAAAAATGAGTTCACTCGAGCTGACTTGAAACCGATTGAAATTTTAGTGAAGTGAAGTGAGTTTGCTTCATCGACTTCGACCTCTGTTAATTAGGGTTCATTCACTTATGAAGTCTGCATTTATGGAAGAACTCTTACGAATCATTCACTTCTGTTTTTACCTTTCGCTTCTTAGACTTTGTAAGAGAACAACCCTATATGATACATACCTCTTCTTCAAGCCTCTTTAAGGCTGAATCCAAAACATTTATGTGAATCCTTTGTTCCTCAAGGGTAGCGCTCTGAGCCTGAATCTCTATATATTGTCGTTTATTTGCATCAACCAATTCCTTGTTCTGTTGAATGAGTTGCGTTATCAGTAGATCTTGTTGCGTTCGGCCAGTACTAGCAAGCTGTTGTTGTTGCTGTGTCGTAGCTATAATCAATTGTTGCTGTAATGTCTCAACCTGCTCTCTTAAAGCACGATTCAATTCTTGTAGGCGTCGACAATCTGATTGTAATCTTGTTCTGGCTGTTTTCTCTAGTCGCTCACGTCTCTCACAACTTTGTACTAATTCCTCATGTACTCGATAAATATTTGATACTTCCTGTTCAAGTTTTTGAGATTTTGCAACTTTCATTAAGCAATCATTCAATTGGCTCCTCAATTTGTTATTTTCTATTTCCAACTGTTCGAAATCATTAAAGTTTAATGTATTTATGGCAGAATTGTTACTTTCACGATTCTCCACATCTCCACTCAACTTTGTAAGATCTGGCTGAGATTTACTTTTGCTTCGACTACTGTTCATATCCGGCCAATGTTGTTGGTGATTCGATGATGAATTATTTTCGGATACGCCTGAATCTCTCGTCGATGAGTCGAGTGTTGTTGGAATCTTTACTTCCTTTGCTAAATGCTTCAAGACATAACTCTGATTTAAATATTGTTGTTCATTCTCAGTTATTGGCGCCATTGTGCTTGCTTCAGTATTATGACCAGCATAATTTCCAAGTGAACGTGATGCACTCTTATCTTTCTTATAATTTGGTGGCGATGGGGATGAATTAATGAAATAAAGATCATGCTTAAATCCTGGACTCGTTCCAGAAAACAATGGCTGTGATTCATTATTATCGTGAATGATTAATGTCGAATAGCTTGATTGTGAGACGTCCAGTGACGAGCGATTAGATTGTGGATGTTCAATGGAATTTCTATTTGACTGCTGTTGCTGATTTTGACTTTGTTGTTGTTGCTGCATGATTAAAGAATTTCTCTGACTTCCATTATTATCTCTTAAATCAACTGAAACGCTACGATTACTAAATCTTTGTGGTGGATTTGTTGCATCCGTTGAGGCACTGGCATATCTAACCTTTGTCGGTGGTGGTGGTTGTGGTTGATTCGATGAAACTTTTTCGTAAATATTTAGTTCTATAAGATAAGATAGCGAATGAATACAGTCTATTTTTGTTATGGGAAACGGTAAATAAACTTACGCTGATTATCGTTCACTGGCGTGACGTTTCCCGATAAATTTTCTTGTCCTTGTGGTTCAGCTAGTTAAATAAGACAATTTATTACATCTAGTTCCTTTTATTTAATTAAATTATCTTTACCTCTTGGTTGTAAGAGCACATAACGTTCTTCTTTGGACAGATTTCCATCAGACTCATCCTCAAAATAATCCTGTTCGTCATCGTCAGTATCTGAGAAATTCGGAGGCTTAATCTCTTGTGAAGGTTTTTGCTCTCTTACAATCTGTGCCTTTGGCATTGGAATATTTGTGGGAGTAGCTGATTTTCTCATTCGGACAGCTGTTATAGCCGGCGTTTGCTGCTGCGGTTGCTGTTGAGCTGACAAAATTACTGATTTCTTGCTATTGGTCGATGCAAACGGCGAAAATCTTAGATTTGAAGACATGTTGTTTCGATTTTGTTGCTTTTTTGGATTATTAGGCACTTTGTTTCGATTATGTTAAAATATTTAAGGCACGTGCTTCATTAAGATACATATATGAGTAATATGCGAATTTCTTATTATTTATAAATAATTGCTCCAATACATTTATGTTTCCATCTAAAATAGATACAATATAAGACAAAGAGGTGAGTATGAGGTATTTATAAGTTACATCTAAGTGAAAAACGGGGTCTATTTAATTAAGGAATTCAAAACAGATCGCTTTGGAATCGAAACATATAAAAGTGAATTGACTACTGCGAGAAGCAAGACTTCTGTGGCCGAGTGATTATACAAATGACAGGAAAGCTGTAAACTTCCTAAGATCGATGTCTTGATAGTTAAAGTGTCATCGATATGAAAAGAATCCCGGGTGGGATTCGAACCCAAGTTCAATGATTTCAGTTCGTTCACATGCTTCTGCCATTGAGCTATCAGAGGTTCTTGACTATATTGTCAAATGCCATATATAAGTTGCACAAAGGGCAGAAACACTCCTAAAAAATACACAACACTTCCTGACAAGATATTTTCAATCGTTAAAACAGCATTCATCAACATTAGCGGTGATTTAAAGTAGGATTCCATATCAGTAAGTAATGGGATATTTTAAGCAGATTTTTGTGTATCCGTCTTGGTTGCACACTTTTCTGGTTCGTTTGCACTGCTAGATTTATCATTGACAAGCTTTAACTTGAATTCTATGGTTCCAAAAAAATAAGTGTCTTTATTGAAATTTTCTTCGACAAAAGTAAGAAATCCAAGGATCACAATTTGATTTCAGTAATTTGTTGAGTCGAAGACATAAGTAATCCATAGGTAGAAGCAGGTTTTAAATCCCTATTTAATGTCAGACATAATTCATGAGTGAGCGATTTGCAGAAATATTTATAATCAGCATATGCTCATAAAATTCCGATACAATTTTCACATTCAATAATATTTTTAGCGCATATGCTACAACTGTTTCTTTTTTCGCTTTCATTCATACATGCTATTTTTTTTTATATTCCTTAATAACAACAATGTATGAATGGAATGTTGACTTTCATGTAAATTTTACCAATACTTTGACAAAAATTTTATACATGAAATTGAAATAGGAAAGTGCTCTATATTTATTATCAATGTTGCCACAAAAATCTTCAAAAAGCTTAATTAAGCAGCCTTTCTATGAATTAATAGCGATTAAGCAACTAAGAGTCATAAATTGAACAATTATTAATTTTTCTTGTTAAAAATATTTTTTCATCATTTTAAAATTCTCTTTTTGGCACTAGAATCCACAAATTTATGTTGACTTATTGGATGAGTTGATGAACAATACTTTAAATTATATTTTTATGATATTTTAAGCTACTCACAATTGTTTGGAAATTATTAAAATTAATATATATAGAATGATTCACTTCTTCGTTTTGCAATATGTTAAAAATAATGTTAGTTCCGAAATTCCTCAACGGTGGCAGCATGCATGCATTAGGTTAACGTTATTTTACAGAACAAATGCAATAGTAGAAAACATTCAACCTTCCAGTACAGAATATTATCTTAATTAACGAATGATTCATCACGGTCAAAGTTTTAAATAATAAGTTAAAGCACAAAGTGTTGATTCTAAGTGATCCAGTGATTGATATATTCTTAAAAATAAGACTTTTGTTGATGTAAATAAACAATTCCATTGGAATGTTTTGATAAAATCAAAGAAGCATAAAAGCTCTAAAGGAATATTCCAACATAAATCGAATCATAAAAGCATCAAAGGATGTAAAACTTTTAGTAAATTCTATTTACAGGTAAAAAGTTAATTTTGATTCCAAAAAATATCAAAAGTTTGTAGATTAATAAAAATAGCACTCAATAAAGTTGGAATTGACTGTTTACTCAAGTGTCAAATATGAATAAATTGTGATAAAAGCAAAAAATGATAAAATTTTTCATGTCATGCGCGGTGATTAAGCTTCCAATTTCTCTATCTCCTCTATTTTCAATACTTTATCATTTGGTGAAAAAAGATAGTAGTGACATTTAGGAAAATAAGGTTTAAATACGTTTTTACTCAAAGCGTGTTCGGTTGATTTTAAAAATCAGAATTATAATAATACAGTCAAGAATAAGAAGAAGTTCTGTGAGTATGGATAGGGGAAATACCAAAACTATTAATGTATTAAAAACACTTAATTGAATTTCCCATGATTATTGCCATAAAAAAATTTTATTTTTCACCAACACAAAAGTTATTACAAAATCAAATTGATTAAGCTTGACGTCTATAAAGTAGATTCGCGAAAAATTAAACGCAATAAATAAAGTATTTCATGTCAGTTCGACAAAAAGGAAAATATTGCGAATTGAAAAGTTGTGGAAAAATCGATAAAATTGTCTTTCGGTTGAGGAGGAAAAACAAATTTTTCAATACATTATTTTGTGATTGTGAAAAAAGTTGATGAAGGTCGCATATAAATCGTATAATTGAGATTGCAGAGTTGTTACCTTGGGTTGACGTTGCACTTATGACGTCCATCGAAGAACATAATTTTCAGACCCCCCCTCCCTCTGTCACAAAACTGTCATAGATGTCAATACCCCCCCCCCCCCCTTTGTGACATCCAATCAAAGACACAAAAATGGATGTCACAAATTTCCTGACCCTCCTCCCTCCTCTGTCACAATGCCCCCCCCCCCCTAATTGTTGGATGTAATAAGTGAACGACCCTTTCTAGGGTATGACCTATTAAAGGTTGCTGGTCATACTTCGTACAATTTCTCGGTCTTCCGTTGAACGAACTTAATTCGATAACGTCAGCCCTGTTTGAGAATCATAAAGTCGTTAACATGCAATGACATATTGACATAAAGGACAACGAATGAGTTAAAAATTAAATCTACAAACATCGCATTTGATTTATTATGTCAATAACATTTTGAGTCCTCATTTTATGATTGCAGGTAAATAACAGACAGACAAAGCATTTAAATTTCAAACTTATCTCGAATTGAGAAATAAAAGTCGTCCACAATGCCTATAACAAGTATTCTCAAGAGAGCCACAAGCTACATATTAGGAAGTGGTGAGGATGAAATGACTATCGAGGATTTCAATTATGAGGACAATGAGATTTTATTCTGTAAGAATAATGTGTGCGTACATCCACCGCTTTTAGTACGTGATCCTGAAAGTGACACTTGTCATTTCTCCGGATATTTAACGCTATGTACAAAGACATTCATAGATCAACATAATTTAGCAAAACGTCCAACCTTATTATTATCATGGATTCCCAACTCAACATTAAGGAAATGTCCATTGGAATTAGAAAATTGTTCGCCACATCACTTACCAAAAACAGCCATAGCCGTACAAAAGAGAATGCAATTAAAGGAAGAAGATGAAGACATAACGTTTAATCATGCTAACAATAACGGAAGTGACAGCAAGAGCATCAACAGTAATAACAACAATATTCAAATTCAGATGATTAATACAACAAATCCCTTCCTAGAAAACTACGTGGACCCAGAAGAGTTGGCATTACAGCAACAAAAGCAACAGGAACAACTGAATTCAGTTCAGCCACCGTCAGACAGCAAGTCTATGAACTTTTCCGATTATTCTGAGACTATCAGCATTTCATCGAGTTCCGATCATGTAAGTGACTACAACAATTGCTATACAAATACAGTTGCGACAAGTCAAGCACCGACATACATCGAGGAAGATGAAGGAATTATTGACTCGACACAAGATGATAATATGGCAATGAATGACGATGAAAGAAGTAAAAATGAGAAAAATGAAATAGAAGACGAAGAAGAGCGTGAATTAAAGGCTGAATTAGAGCCATTGCTTAACGAAGACGAATTTTCGGATCTAAAAACACTGACGCGTCAAACATCAGCTCCTGTCTCAAAATCAGCAGCGGCTCATTTATTAAAGAATCTCAAACAACATCAATCGATGACGTCAGTAAATATTACAATCGCAAATCCACAAGTTGAGAATATTGACGTACCTGCTGCGTCTGACATTAATGATGACTCAACAACAAAGCAAATTATACGATCTATGTCAATTTCATCTGTGGATGAAAATAATCCAAATTGGATGACGGCTGAGATGTACGCATATAAAAATAATCTTATGTTTCCAGAAAGTGTTAATGCATCACCAATTGTCACTAGAAAGCAGAATCAAGTTTCATCGAAATGTCGTCGATTCTCTGTGGATCTCAGTCAAATGCGTTCCTTAAGATTATTCTTTAATGATGAACAATGCACGTCAGGACAGCTCGTTATTGCCAGTCGAGAAAGTCAGTATAAAATCTTGCACTTTCATCACGGTGGATTAGATCATTTGGCACAAGTCTTGCATCAATGGCATTGTTTATTGCATAATATTAAGGCTTCGCCTGGACATGATGAAGTCAATTTGCCGTATCGTCAATTTATGGTCTGTCGTCCGGAAGTGCGAAAGAGTGAATTGCATCCTGAAGAAGGAAAAGTTCCAAAAATTACAACTGAATATTTCTATGGACAATTGGTAAATGAAAAGGGTCAGATTGAGGATGACTTGCAATTAAGAAAATGTGTCTTCTTTGGTGGACTTGAGAAGAATTTAAGGAAGACAGTGTGGCCATTCCTACTTCATTGTTATTCCACTAGTTCTACATTCAACGACCGAGTCGCTCAATCGGAATTAAGAAAACGTGAATATGATGAATTGACTAGAAGACGACTTTACTCGATGTCGCCAGAAGAGCAGGCCAAATTTTGGAGAAATGTTCAGTGTGTCGTTGAAAAGGATGTCGTCCGAACAGATCGAGGAAATCCATATTTTGCTGGCGAAGGAAATGTTAATATTGACACAATGAAAAACATACTGCTTAATTTTGCATTCTACAATCCTGGAATTGGGTGAGCACGTGCATAATTTTTATTCGACGGTTTTTTAAAATTTAAATTTTAACGCTCATCAGAAATTTGAAATTATTAGGTTCAATTTTTGAACTTTAGTACTGGGGGTCCTCGATTTGAGTAGTTGTTTTGTTCCAAAAAATTTCTATTCAAATCGAATCTATTCAAATCGAGGCAAAGAATCCATACAAAATTACATGTTTTGTTCCAGAGTCCAAAAAATGAATCAAAACAATGAAAATCTTGATCATTTTTTGCACATTTTACCTCGTTTCTTAACTTTTCCTATGTGTTTTAGACATATTAATTTATTTCAACGCATATTCATATTGTTTTTAAACAGAAATTCACAAAAAATATATTTTTGAAACAAAACAAAAATATGAGAACCTTGCAAATGTTATTTCACTGAACAATTTGTAAGGTTTTTGAATTTGAACTTTTTAAAATCGTTGATTTTATATCGATTTTTTAAATTTTTTCTTTAATTTTGTAACTTTAGTATTGATTTTTCTATCAATATGATAAGTTTACGCTTACCGCAGTAAAATTTATGTTTTAAAATTATTTTCTGAAATGTTTTTATCAAAAATATTTGTTTTGTAAACAATTCAAATCGAAGAAAACAGGAAGAAATTTACTCAAATCCACAATGATTCAGATTCGGAAAAAATGTTCAAAAATTCCTTGTGCACAATATTTTTCTGACACATTAGAAAATTGAAAGTTTTTGTTGATTTCTTTTGATTTGATTCTTTTAGCATCTTCTACATAATATTTTCGTTCATTGCTCAAAAAATCAGTCCTTAATATAAAGGATAAACATGTTTTTTTATCAAAAGTTTGTAAAAGTTTATCAAAAAATATTGTGCATGATCAAACTTTGTATGAAATTTTATGTAAACTTTGATCGCAAATATCTCGAAAACGGCATCAAACGGCATGTCCTCAGTAATATGGGAGATAGATTAAAGCTTATTTAATTGATTTATATAGGTTTCAGAGAGGTCTTTGGAAGACTTTTTAACTTATGAATAGTTTAAGTTTTGTAAAAATACTCAGATTTCAATTCCATTTTTAAGGCTTAATAAGCAGATTTCTATTGAGTTGGTTGTTTTAATATGTAGAGCTAAGCTTAAATTAGCTAGCAACTGCTTTCAAGACATCCAAATAACAACTTAAAGTAGAAAAAATCACATTTCTTTTTTCATACTCAAATTGTAAACAAATTTTGGGTGAGATTAAATTAATGATTTCTGGAGTTAGACAGCAAATAGGAACGAGATATTTTTAAAGGATATGCACAAAGGAAAGATCTTTTATCTGGCATTTAAAAGGCAAAGTTTAATTAACATGAAATTTTTGAATTTTTGAACATTTTTTTCGATTCTGAATCATTGTGAAATCGAATATTTTGGTGGGTAAAAAATTTTCTGTTCAAATCGAATCTACTCAAATAGAATCTACTCAAATCGAGGACCCCCAGTATTCAAATTCTAAAAATCCGTTGAAATTGGAATTTTAGAAATCCGTGATTATGATTATTGATTTTCTCCAATTAATGAAACTTTCTCGCATTTAATCAGCTACACTCAAGGCATGAGTGATTTAATGGCACCCGTCCTATGTGAATTGAAAAATGAAAGTGAAACATTCTGGTGCTTTGTTGGTCTCATGCAGCGTGCAATTTTCGTCTGCACACCAACTGACAACGATATAGATAAACATTTAAAATACTTACGTGAATTGATTCGCTTAATGGTCCCTAAATTCTATGAGCATCTTGAAAAGCACAACGATGCCATGGAACTTTTATTCTGCCATAGATGGATATTGTTGTGAGTTATACTGTAAATTTAATTTAATTTAAGTTTTTTTTTATTTGGTAATTTTGGATCTTTGCAGATGCTTTAAACGAGAATTTACGGAAGCCGTTGCTATTCGTAAGTGCTTCATTAAAACTTTTTTATTCTCATACAGATACTTTACTAATGAACATAATTTTTTAAATCTTGTGTCTGCAGGTATTTGGGAAGCTTGCTGGGCAAATTATTTAACCGATTATTTTCATCTCTTCGTTTGTCTTGCGATTATTAGTGCTTATGCTGATGACGTGATTGCTCAGGATCTACGAACGGACGAGATGCTGCTTCATTTTAGTTCCTTAGGTATGATGATTAATAATGCAATGAATTTAGAGTCATTAATAATTTTTTCTTGTTGTTCCTGTAAACAGCAATGTACATGGACGGACAATTAATCTTAAGAAAAGCTCGCGGTTTACTGTACCAATTTAGACAATTTCCAAAGATACCGTGCAGTTTATTAAAGTTATGCAGACGATGTGGCCCAGGGATATGGGATAGTGCTCATCATCCTGCTGTAGAATGCATAGGACACGAGGAAAACGAAAGATGTGCTTTAGCCGATAACTAAATCAAATTCAATACTACAAATATGATAAAACTCACCAATCATTATTTATTGTTATAATCAAAAGTGGATATACCTACATGACAAACGAATTATATCAAAAAGCAAAAGTATTTAGATTAATAATACAAGGGATAACAGCTGAAAATCAAGCATCAAATTAAAAATGTCAAAATTAACCGTCAAAATATTTTCAAATTTTTACCGTTGATTTTTTAAAGAATCTCAAAACCCTACAACAGTAAAAGAGTTCAAATTTTAACGTCTAAAAAGATTTAAATCTTAAAACAATACAACAGTTTTGAGTATATACATTTGTAGGGTTCTGAACGAAATTCTCTCAAGGAAACTGACATACATCGAGTAACCGACCTTTTCTGAAGCTGCTGTCCCTTAATAATACTACAAGATATGATAATTTAATTAAATTAACCACCAACACACACGACATCTTTGAATATAAATGTTTAATCAAAAGAATACAATGTTTTAACGAGGAACAAAAAAAAAGTGACGAGACAGTCATGTAAAGTTGTATTTATTCAAGATATACCTGAAAGTCGTTAAATGCTACACTTTCATAATGGAAAAGATAAATAAAATTTACGCTTAAATCATTAATTTATAGAGCAAGGCATTACCTTTATTAATAATAATTATGTTGATTTAAAAAAGGAGCAGAGTATAATGCGCAAAGCATATAATAATTTAATTAAATTAATAAGTTTAATGGGATATTTGTGTAAAGTACAAAGTGTGATTAATGGAATAAGGAATCATTTAGAATTCATGCTTAAAGGTCCCATTGTCCTTAGAATTCTTTAATAGCATCACTTTTTGGGAATTTTGCAAAGCCAGTCGAATTTACTGCATTGTAAGGCTTTCTATCGAGATATTCTTGGACTATTTCGCCTGCTACATACTCAACTTTAGCATTAATTTGATTAATAATCTTCTGTTGACGATTCTTATGGTCTTGAACTATTTTCGTAAAGTTTCCGTATTTTGCATTTGTTGCTGGAATTTCTGAGCCTTTAACGAGTGACATGATCATATCCTATGTGGATTGAATAATATATTAGTCTTCACATTCAATAATAAATATGTATTTATAGCTACTTACGTATTTGACCTTTCTCAATTCATCATCTAAAGCTTCAAGTTTAGGATCTCGAAGTTTAGGGACATGCAAAGGTTTTAAGTTTTTCAGAATCTTTTCATAATCTTGTGCTTGAATCTTCATTCTTTCTTGACGTTCACTCTTGAGTGCCATCTGAAGATATGACAGTTCCTGAGCAATATATGGAGAACTAGCAGTTATGTCTAATGCAGTTGTCGTCTTCAAATCTCCTCGTTTAGTGCCATAAACTTTCAGTTTCTCTCTTAAAGCACCACGTTCGTGCTCTAATGAGTCAATATCACTCTGCAAATGATCCATTGTCTTTTCGTATTCCTTCTCCTGTCTGTAAATCGAAAAAATGTTTTAAACGTATTTTTGATGGTTTGAAAAATTTAACGGAATTTGATGATTTGAAATTTTTATCTTTAGAATCCGTTAAAATAAGAAGAATAAAATTACCTTTCAATCTTTTCTAGCGCCTCTTCCAATTCCTTCTGTAACTTGGTCGAATTAGACTCATGATCGAGCTGTAAGACAGACAATTTCTTCTCTGCTAAATCCTTACGAATCTGCATTTCAGACAATTCATTCTGTTTCATCTTCAAGCTCATTTTAAGCTGTCTAATCTCAGCATCGCGATTCTCTAATGTTGCCGTTAATGTCTTTGTCTCTTCCAAATGTTTCTTGACTGTATGTGCTCGAACTGCAATTGGAGCTTGTTTCTTTTCATTTTGTGCCGCTGACATAATCTCATATTCATGATCTAACAAATATTGTGCTAATTGAGACATGTCTATATTAGCATTAGTCAAAAGAGTCTTTACATTCTGAGATATTCCACGATCATCTTGCTCATAAACACGTTCACATAATTGTGAAAGCAATTCCCATAATTTTGCATTCGAAATTGCCACAACAGATGTGGCATCGACAGCATCGGAAGTGATATAAGCGATTACATGCTTAGATGTAAGATGCATTAAAGTAAGAAGCTTACTATAATTATCAACTGTTGTTTTAAGATTCTGTAATGTATTCATTGATAAGTTACATTTAGTAACTCCAATATCTTGTGGTAAGCGACGCTTAATAAGCTTCAAATGTTGTCTAATGTTATCACATGTCTGAATAACAAATTGAAGCAACAAGCCACTTTCGCTTGTCTCATCACCACCTTGAATTAATGCACGAATCATTGCACTATTTGTCTCAATTGAATCACATCCCATAAATAATGCAGCAATGCAGTCGCGGACTGTTTGAGTTTCATTCGTTAAGCCTTCACTAGCGAGTAGCACCGAATAAATAGCATTAAAGAATGACACACATTTCTCCAAATTATCTGTCGACGAATTTTCATCCAATTGATTCTGTTTAAGGAGATCAATAATTGCATCGATTATTTTCTCTTGTGCAAACATTTCAGGCAGAGACGAACCGATTTTAAGTAAGACTTCAGGTGTACATGAACTCAATCCAAATAGGAATTGATGCATGACTTGTTGGAGATTATGAATAAAGTAGAGTAAACGTGAGCGGAATGCAAATTGGTGTACAGCATGTCCTTGCATGGTGGCATTTCTATCAATCAATGAAACTGGTCCGTAACGATCTCTTACTTGTGTTACAATTATTCCAGCTTTAAAGACTATTCTTGAAACGAGTAGAATGACCAAAATTGCATCGTGATCACCGCCACGAGCCATAAATGTTTCAGGCATAAAGCTTAACAAGTATTTTATGTGCTCATTAACTTCAGTCAATTCAATTTGTCTCAATTGTAAATCAATTGCACGAGTATGAGCCTTAGCGTCCGTAAAGATCTGCTTAAAGTCAATTGTTTCTGTAATTTTATGATCACTCTCGGCAGTTCTTGATTCTCGATTAACTTTATCTCTCAACTCTTGTATTTGATCATTTAATCGTTGAACTAATTCTCTAAACTTAAGAATTGTTGTGTCACGATCATGCACAGTTTCTAGTGCTGCATCTTTTTCCCTTAAAGCTTCCCTTTTTGCCGATGTTGCCATATCCAATTCTTCACGTAAATCAAGCTCTAATTCGTGATTAGATTCGACCAGTTGTTCGTGTACTTCTTCTAAAGCTTCTAATTCAGAAACTTCCTCTTCTAATTGCTTCACTCTTTCTTCTAGTTCCATTTTCTTCTCGCCCAGTTGTTCAACCATCTCTTCAGCACCCAAAGCAGCATCAACCTTTTTAAAATTTAAATTAAAATTGATAATCATTTTAACCGTCAAAAAATATTTGAAAATTAACTGTCAAAAAAATTGAATTTTTCTTTTAATCTATGGATTAATTTCAAATCTCGGGATATATTTTAATCCCAAATTAAATTTTTAATCGTAAGATTTATTTTTATCCAATGATTTATTATTGAATAAGACACAAACCTCTTCCTGCAACTCAACAATTTGAGCCTCCAACTCATCAACGCGACTCGAAAGCTTCTCTTTAGTTCTCTGCAATTCCTGAACTTCAGATTTCTTCATTTCCAATTCTTTTTGCAACTTTTGGATCTCATGCTTCTCGTGTGCTGAAAGATCACGCATTCGAACCAGCGTTTCACGTAATCTAGTATTTTGCTGTTCCAATTGCTTCATTTCATACACAGAAACGCCTCCAGACTCCCCAGTACCAACATTTCCTTCAGATTTAATTGTGGTTCGTTCTTGCATTTCCGTTTTTAATATCTCAAGATCAAGAGTCAGTTCCTCGATTCTTTCTTTTGCATTTTCTAGTTCCAACTGAAGAGTATCAGCTTTCTCTTCGGCCATTTCTTTATCTAAAGTGATTAGCTCAACATTTTCAGTCAATTCTGCCATTTCTTCTTGATGATTATCCCTAGCTTCAATTGCATCTTTAGCTTCTTGTTTGGCACGTTGCAATTCACGCTGTAAACTTGATTGTGCTTCCATAATTTTACTCTTAAACTCTTGAAGTTGATCAAATTGATTTTTCATTTTATCGAACTCCCTCATTCGTTCCTTATCTTCGGACCTTCTCATTTTTAATGTCTCTAACTTTTCATTCAAGTCTTGAACTTGCTTCTTTAGATCTTCATTTTCTTGTGTCAATTGCGATATATGAAGCTTATCTTCGCTTGTTGGAACGACTGTTGGAGATATCAGCGATTGTCCCAATGTAAATTGTGGCTTTAAAGTCTCTAAAAATCCAGTTTCTACAAATGAAGCACGTTTTGATGTTGAAACGCTATCAGCAGGACTCATTGATGGTCTAGTGGCTTTTATAGAATCTTGTTTTTCACTACTTATAGCCATTGGCTGTGCTAATTGCGATCTCGAACCAGACAAACTAGTACGACTACCCGTTAAAGATAGTCTTGAACTAAATATGGGAAAAATTATTTAATTAATCTTATACGAGTCTAAAGGAATGAAAAATGATTAAAAATAAACCTAGAAGTTGATGGAGTTATAGATGGTTTTTTGGATGAAATCTGTTTTACTGGTGATTTACGTCTTACTCTACATTATAATAAATGTATGTTAATTGTTATAATTTTTAAAAAAATTATGTTTCAAAAATATGATCCAATATATAAATAGTCATGGTCAAAAAGGAGGCAAGGAAAAAGATAGAAAAAACAAACATGATTGTCATGAGTACACATTGTATTGGTTGGTTAGTAAAAATAAATTTAATATGCTAGCTACAATTAAGAATGTGACACTTACGCTGTAGGTTTTGCAACTGGATTGCTACCGGATAGTGATAAAAGTGACCTCGATGAACCAGAACTTAATAAATGCAAGCAAATACAGATAAATGAATATAGATATAATATACATTAAAGAGTACCGTGAAGCATGAAATGAAATGATCTACATATATATTAAATCTAGTGAATTCGAGTGAGTTTTAATGCATTTATGAGATGTGCATGTGCTAAGCATTAAAACTTACGTCTTTTTAGCTGGACTGTTAAAATTAATAACAATAAATATAGTTAAACCATCAAATATTCAAATACCAAAAAAGGGGGGATAGAACAAGATGAATCATGCACAGGAATTATCGTCGATTATAACTTACGTGCTCAGACGTGATCTAGGCTTTTCATCGGGACTATCCAGAATTGGATTGTCAGCATCGTCCAGAAAAATACATTGTGTATCACGTACAAACATTCCATAACTGTCTTGGCACTAAAGAATATCAGCAATAAATTTTCTTTTTCTTCTAGTGACATGAAAAAAGGTGTTGGACTTACTGAAAAGTATTGAGTTCCTTTGATGGTGCCATTATTTTTACCTTTAGGTTCATCCAGCACCACTCCAACCCATTTTCCAGCTATAATAATAGATTTTTAATCGTGTATCATCAATTTTGTGAAAAGTGAAAACTTTAATAGCTTAAAAAACAAACATGATGACTCACCTGCAAAAGATGTTAATCCAATGTATTGGACTGTTCCTTTGACACCTTTTTCCTTGATTTCTACTCGCGTTCCTATCCGAAGAATTCTTTCAGCCATCGTTTAATTCCTTTTCCCAGCAATATTAATGAAATTTTCAATTTGCGAAATTTTCCAATGTGAAAAATATGTTTTAAGGCTGATATTGATGTAACTGTTGCTGCCGACGAATTTCTTGGGGATTTTAATGCACAATCTTAATATTCAGCACGTTTGAATCATTTATATTACATTCAATTTGTGTAATTAATAATTTTTCAATTTTAAAAGCAGAAAAAAGTTTATTTACTAATTTCAGGGGAGAATCAACACAAAAACGTACAATTATTCAAAAATTTAAAATCCGTTAAATGAGTTTTCGTTTTCTTTAATTGGTTTTCTTTTAAAGGTAATTGCTTTTAAGAATTATTTCAATTAAATTGTGTCTAACAGACAGATTCTTAATAAAAAAACATTATATATACTTTACTAAGATCGTGCTGCATTCACGTGAATTAAAATGGACAAGCCATCAACAAGTAAAACCGTTAAAACATGCAGAATGTGCTTGAGCGAAAACAGACGAAAAGAATATTTGTGTATCAATGATAGTAGCTGCAAGGAACTTAAAATCAAATTTGAGAAGTGCTTCCGAGTTGTTGTAAATAGATCAGATACAAAATATATCTATGAATATTTTCATTTATTATAATCTGATTTCAGATCCATAAAGCTCCCCAGAATTTGACATTTCTATGCTCTGAATGTGCTGTATCCCTGGATACATTCTTTAAGCTGCAAAAGAAAGCACGACGGAACGACAAAGTTTATTTCGATAGATTGAGAAAGAAGTAAGCTTCTGTGTTGATTACAGCTTTATTTAAGTTAAGTTAATTAATTTTTATTGGTATTTAATAGCTTTAAATGTGATTTATGTAGCTACAAATCATTTCAAAAAAATCGTATTCGAAAACATATTGAACAACATCATTTAAAGATTAATTTCTTTGAGTGTGGTTTCTGTTCTAAGAAGTTTGGTGCTAATTACGATTTAAAAATCCATATCCAACGCATGCATAATGGTAAGTTTTAGATGCTATGAACTTTTATTGCAAGCTTTGTTCAAAAGAATTCAAGATAATGAGCCATCTACAACAACATATGAAAACCTATCATGCTTAAATTTACCACCAAAATATGTCATTAAGTATCTAAATAAATCACTTCTTCAATTTCTTGGATATTTGTTCAACACATTTTTGACTATTTATTGTTCGCAGACGCTTAAATCGATTCTTTGGCTTTGGATCTTCAACAATACCTTTAAAAGATTTGATCATGCTCCTTATCATTGCTCTCATAATTTCCTTTTCCTGAAAACTATCAGGCATAACAGTTGGAACAATACTTTTTGGCTCAAGGAATGTAACAAAATCACGAAGTTCAGATTCACTGTTGTGGGTAGCATAACAGACACGTACAGACTTTTTGGATTCATCAATACACTCGAATGGACAATTTTTATTCCAATTCCTCCAATATATAGCAGACAGCTTGATGTTCAGAGTATTTTTGTCGATTGCCTTTCCATTTGAGTCATTAACGAATGATGGTTTTAAGGATATCCTAGAATTGAGGACATCCCGTGTAATACAACTAGATAGATCAGAAATCACTAAATATTGATCATATACAGCCTCTTCGTGGATGTAAACTCTTTCCTTGAACTTTTTATTTATGTCAGTCAATAATCTTTCATAGCCATAACGTGCTGAAGGCTGCAAACAAACTGTGAATGAAAAGCATAAAGTTTTTAGTATTATGTTACTAATTTGTTAATGTTTGCGATATGATACCTCTGTGACTTGATGATTGTGATAAATGTTTGTCTATGATCTCAATGACTTTATTGCTGCTCTCATGTTGAGTTGGGAAATGTTTGTAAGACTGACTAAGAAAGGTTGTGTCCAAGTATAAGATTAAGCTTCCATAATTCTTGATTTCTTTGAGAACATTTATGTTTTGAGCATGTTTGAGTGATATCCGAAAATCACCAGTATACAGGATGTCAAGTCCTTCAAGTTGAAATAAAAGCATGCAAGCACCTAAGCAATGTCCAGTTGCATTCAATGCAGTCACGATGAACTGTACTTCCTTGTCTTCATCATCCATGAACTTAATATTCATTGGACATCCATATTCAAGAATTTGGACATTAATCGACGGATATTTCTTCTGAATAATTAATGCAGATAGACTTGTTGTATATAAAGGCGAAGAAATTTGAGATAAATTCTCGAGACCTCTCATATGATCACTGTGACAGTGAGATAAAAAGTAACATTTGCATGCTATATCCTCAAAACTGTCTACACTAATGTGTCGAATTTCTTCGATTTGTCCATTGAAAGTACTCATGTTATTAAAAATATAAATACAGGCACAGAAAAATGAATTACACAATATTAAATAACACAAAAGAATAAATATTTTTCAAGTTTAATATAAACAAATAACGTGATGGATTTGAAAGTGGAACAAGAATATTTTGTGGTGAGTTTTGAGTGAACATTTGGGAATTGTCTGATTATCAAATGTTGCTGACAATTTCATGTGACATGACTGGAAATTTATGATTTAAGTCTTTAACTTATGTGAGCAATCAGAGTGCATCCTTAAAATCTCTAAAGATAACTAGCATGCTTAATAATTTTTGTGGTGAGTTTCTTACAATTCTCACCATACGCCTACCCCCTCGTCACTCACCGCAGCTACAAAATTTCCAAAGCGTACCCTTTTCACCATAAAATCTTATTCATCAGTAACAGGTTGTCATTGAGTAAAGAAAGACGTGAAAATATTCATTCCGGCAAGCTTGTTGAGGATTAGTGGACAGAAAAAAAGAGATTTTTAAATAAGAATTTATTTCATAAAATTAGCAATAAATAATCAGTGCAGCTAGAAGGAGACCGCAGCTTAATGATTTGATAAAAAAAATACATCCACACCTAATTTCTGATAAAGAATAAGAAGAGCGAAATAGAAAATGTACTGAAGTTTCTCTTTACGTACAGAAAAAAAGTAACTTTTTCTTTCTTTAAAAAAAAATAAGACCATAAAAGACACAATTTAAAAAGGAAATTCAGAAAGATTGAGACAAGTCAATTAATATTTATCAGTGCCAGTTTAATTTACATAAAAAAATATCACACAAAAATGGTGAAACAACGAAGAACTATTCTGGATACAATTCCGATGGTTGCGGCTATTTTCGTAGGTGAGTAAAGCAATAATATTGATACCTGTGGAATATACACACGCACGAAAGAGACGGCAAATGTGTGAAAAAAAAGTTCAACAGTTTTTTTTTTCGTGCTTCGTTGAATGATGCCATCCAAGAATTATTTTATTTTTCTGTCAATAGACAAGATAATGTATTCATCTTTAGAATAGAAAAAGTAGAACTTCCAAAAAGGAGAAATTAAATGTTCATGAATAGACTTATGCAAAATGTTTAAATGGTGTCTAATCTATCATTTTCAATCTTTGTTGCCATTTACAACGCGTCTCTGTAGAGAAGAGAATTATTTTCAGTTAAAATGACTGACCGCGTGGATGTGGCTTTATAGCGCATTTACCTGGATAATATTAAAGTCTAAATTTGAGTTTGTGGTTCATTTAAGAATGAGGTTGCTGAAAATTATAGTTTAATGCACTAATTCTCAATATTTTCTTAGAATTTATTCATCAAGAAGCTTCATGTGGTATTAGGGAAGTAGAATATGAAGTATCAAGCCATTTAAAGGCAAATCTACCGATGTAAAATTTACACTTCTGTTGGTTCCGATATCACTTTAATCTAAAGGTTTAAAGGGTATGAGACAATAGATTTTACAATCTTAGTGCCTTCAACTTAAAAGACTGAGCCTTTCAAGCTTTTTATGTATTAACTTAAGACCTTACCGTTACCGAGTAATTAGGTAATGGACCAGAAATAAGTAAAATTCTCTCTTCAGTTGAATTGAGGTGGGTTTTGAGGTAGGATTCCTACTATACATTAATCTTTTAAAAATACCAGTGCTTCTCAACCCATGCTCCACGACACACCTGTATCCTCATAACCTTAAAATGTTTCACATTAAATTTTCACCAAAGAGATAATTTACTGTAACCCAGTTTGAGAAACACTGACAAAGAGTTTTGGAGACATAGTTCATAAGTGTATGATCAGATAAAAGGTCCACAGCTAAAACACGTGTCAATAAGAAAGAAAGATCAAGGAATGCAATTTTTAAATAAATTTTGATTTTGAGCGACCCCAAAAACCTTCATTTCTCATAATTTGGCAGTTGAATGATCAAAATACGTGTCAATTCTTAATATTAAATCTATCATCTCTAAAATTGCCAGACAAAATGCAGTCACAAGCTACGCAAACCTGTCTTAAAATCACAAAAAAGAAGATCACATCCATATAAAATGAGCATTGAGAACAAGGGAGACAGAAATGAGTAAAGAAGTAACTATAAATAACAGGAAAGGTACAATTTTCCGGGAAAAGCACATTGCAATTCAATTTCTTTCTCTCATTACTAAAACATGACATTACCATGCGTGAAAAAAAAGTAATCATACAATTATTAAATTATACAGCACAGCCTATGCGACCCACCCAAAATCTAGTTTCTCATAGCTTCAAAGACAATCATAATATGAGTTGTGACTATATTAATTAGCACATGTGACACTTTTATAACTTCTGAGTTACACATTCACTCCTCTTTGTGACTCCCTCATTGTCCCAAGAATATGTAAAAAAAAAGGAATAAGAAGATTCAACAGGTAACACACATCTCAATTCTCCTTAAAAATTCAAAGCAGGTAAATAAACTTGCAATTCGTTCTTTTGTCTTTCTCTCCTTCTCATTATTCTCTGCAATACCTGCCAGCCTTAACCTTTTTTTAGAATTTTGCAAAAACAAAAAATAGTGAGGCATGGAAAAGCATGTGCTTTGAATTTTTTAAAATAATAATAAATGCTAAGAAAGGAATAAATTCCATGAAAGGAATAAGTAATATGTATGTGTGACTCTTTTTGGTTCCATAACTGTTATCTATTAGCCAAAATGAAAATTTATTTAGCATGTACATGTTAGGCCCGTCATAAATACGAATCTCGTTCTTTCTTTTTTGGGGAGAATGGGTTGAAATGCAAATATATATTTAGGACGCTCCTATTTTTAAGTGCAGGCAAAAAAAAAAAGTATAAATTTATGATGTGGAGAATTTGTCCTGACAATTGAATAAGGAATTCATGGGTTTCGCATCAGCAAACAGGGCGTTTTCCCGCGACTATTAAACAACTTCTTCAACTAGCTATATAAAAAGAGTTTATGTGTTAAAAAATATATCAAGTTTATGTTAATAGAAGTAACTTTGTATAAAAATGCTTTGTGTCTATCCACTCATGCATTTCATGCTGTTTTGTGTTGGTGTTTCACCTTTCACATTTTTACATTAGAGAACCGAAACAACAATGGGATAACCGTTAATATTGAAATGACCAGCGTATGATGCTGTCTCACTCTATCAAATTATGCTGCTCAGTCTTCTTCTTCTTACTGTTGTTTGTTGTTGATACCACTTCTGTTGATGATTATGATGATGATGACGTTGCTGGGTGATTCTGTGAATGTATTTTTATGCTGAATCGATATTTTTAGCTTTTTATGCTTGGTGTGATTTACGGCAGGCTTTTTATAATAAGAAAGTTTGGATTATTAGTCATCGCAAACTCCTATTTCAATTTACCTGATCCGTCACATAGAAGTAAGCTATTCCACATAGTTGTAGCCAAGAAAGTTTAAAGGAGTCGAGTAACTGCCTTTATCGTAAATATCAGACATGAATTATTCATTTTTCAAAGACTGTTCTTTAAATTATGCTCAATGGATTGTTCATTTATCTTATGAACCGTTCATTTATTCAAATTTGGGGGGTTATTGAGTTTTGGGATACTGCATACACAGAAGTTGGGATATAAAAGTCAAAAGTTTCCCAGTTATTAATTAAAATCAGCTTGAGGGGTAAACAACGTCATCAATTGTTTCCCGCATCATGATGTCCCTCAGCATCACCTTTGAAAGTCCCCTTATCTGCAGAATCACCCAGCAGCTCACTAATCTCCAAGATACTGAATCAAAATTTCTTCTCCTCATAATATTTTTTTTTTCGTAATCAATTGCCGCTGCTGGAAACTACTTTTGTTCATATTTCTATTTTGGTTTTGAGAGGAGAACATGACGAACAAGAAGGTAAAGAAGAAGAAGTAGTAGATGGAAAGAAAGTATGAAAGCTGTATGCACGATAAGAAGCACATAATCAATCGACTTTTTAATGAATGGTGTCGATTTTTTTTTTTTTTTTTAAATTAAACTTTTTATTTATTTACATTTAAATTTAAGTATGTACAAAGTTTCTATACATTTTGTTGCTTTTTGTTTTAAGGTTTCAGGCATTCAATTTGCCTTTTGTCTCTTAATTTTGATTTCATTTACGGATTTTACTTTCTTTTGTATTTCATTTGATTTATTCGGTGTTTTGAGATGCAAGACGACTGTTGAAGTTCGCTTGCAACTTTCCGACGTAGTCTTCGATGGACGGTATTTTCGCTTCTGTATGAAGATCGGTGATCCTTTCATATCTTGTTTTATTGAGAACAATTCTCAAGAATTTGTTTTGCAGTACTTGAAGTTTTTGAAGATGGGTTTTTGCCATGCTTCCAAACGCTGGACAACCATATGTGAATATTGGTCTGATGGCTAGCTTGTAGATGAGAAGTTTGTTTCGTACGTCGAGTTGTGAGTTCCTGCTGATGAGCGGATAAAGCTGTCTTAATGCGGTGTGAGCCCTATTGGTCACATACTCCACATGCGGCTTTAATGTCACTCTCTTGTCGATCACCATTCCCAGATATTTAGCTTCTGTTTCCCATTTGATGTTTTCGTTGAGAAATTTGATGTTATTTCCTGGTAGTTGCCTGGAGTGCCTGTTTGTGATGAATAAGGCTTGAGTCTTCTGTTTGTTGAGGTTGATCTTCCATTTGTTCATGTATTGTTGAACTTTTCTTCCTGTGTGCTGTAGATGTGTCACAATATCGGCCGAGTTCTCTGCAGAATGATACAGTGCTGTATCATCTGCGAAAAGACCGATGTTGTTGGTTGTCTCTCTAACAACATCATACGTGAAGATGTTGTAGAGAGTTGGTGAAAGCACTGCTCCTTGTGGCGCTCCGAATTTGATTACCTTGATTTCTGAGAACTGACCTTTAATAAAAACTGCGAAAGATCTTTCACTGAGGAAAGATCTTACAGTTTTTATAAGTGGCAGTGGAAATCTCAGGTATAGCATTTTGTACAAGAGTCCGTTATGCCAGACTCTGTCAAATGCTTTTTCTACATCCAGGAAGATCATGCCTGTTGACTTTTTGTTGTTTAAGTTTTCTTTTGCTGATTTGATCACTTTGATGAGCTGGTGAGATGTTGATCTTCCAGTCCGGAAGCCGCACTGCTGGTTTGGGATGATGTTGTTATCCTCAAGATGATCGTTGATTCTATTCAGTAATACTCTCTCCAGTATTTTGCTTATTGAGCTGAGTAGACTTATTGGCCTGTAGCTGCTTAGCTCATTTGCTGGTTTTCCAGGTTTTGGAATAGGAATCACTTTTGCATGTTTCCAAACTTTGGGGAAGTGGTTGAGTTTCAGACACGAATTGATGATGAATTTCAAGTATTCGAAACCTTTTTCAGGAAGATTTTTGATGAGTATGTTGTTGACTTCATCTAGTCCCGGAGCTTTTGGATTTTTCAGATTTCTTATGATGCTCACGATTTCGTTTACATCTGTTAGTTCTGGATTCTCATCATTGTCTTGTTCCAATGCTTCTTTGACTGTGTTGTTTACTTCCTGTGTATGTTGTGGATCGTTTTTTTCCAGAGGATTTTCGTGAACTTCACGAAAATACTCGCTGAGTGCGCTGGCTTTTTCTTTGTTGGTGATGAACGTTTTACCCAGATTTGTCAATGTAGGCATTGTTTTTGAACCTTTTTTGCAAAATTTTACTATTCTCCAAACTGTTTGGTTTGACGGTTGAATCTCTGAGAGACGCTTATTCCAGTTTTTGTTTTTGAGTTCTTTAATTTTCTCATTGATGACTCTCTGCAGATAATTCAATTCAGATTTGAGTTGATTATCTCTGCTTCTCTGCCATCTTCGACG